GCATCTGGCCGCAGACAGGGTTTTGAGAGGGGGGCTCTCCTCCACTGCCATTTTTGCGGAGCAGGATGAGGAGATGAGGACCCACTTGCTCCGTGATCTTCCCCTTTACCCCTGACGGGCACTGGCTCCCTGCATGGTGCCCCCATCCCCCTGAGCTGACTGTGTTACCCCGTTGGCATCCGACACTTGCGCCCCAAGAGGCTCCGAGCTCTCCGCCTGCGTGCACAGCTCTCCTGCCCGTTTGGTGGGGCGCAGGCAGCCCTGGGGGCTGTTGGACTTTCCAGCAAACCTCAGGGCTTGTTCCTTGGCTTGCAGAAGCCACCTTCGTGCCTGTGTCCCCGCAAAGTGGGCGGGCCGAGGTGGACGATGTCCTCGCTGCCGTCCGCCCCACCACCTGCCTGGTTTCCATCATGCTGGCCAATAACGAGACTGGGGTCATCATGGTGAGTCTGTGGGAAGCGAATGGGACGAGGTGGGACATCCTTGCCTAAAGCTGCTTGATAATGGGGACCAAGTGGTCCCCGGGATGCAGACCCTCGTCCCTCCTGCCAGCCTGTTGCGGAGTTGAGCCAGCGCATCCGTGCCCTCAATCAGCGGAGAGCGGCGGAGGGGCTGCCCAGGATCCTGGTGCACACGGACGCGGCGCAGATGATTGGCAAGGGGCGCGTGGACGTGCAGGAGCTGGGGGTGGACTACCTCACCATTGTGGGACACAAGGTATGGCCCTGTTCATGTGGCCCAGCTGCTCTTCACCCTCTAAGACCTCTCTTTTGGGGTGCCAGTGAGACTTTGGGTGCCCCCCCACAGCTTAATACCTCGTCGGTTGCCAAAGTTTTCCTGCTGGATGGTCTGAGGACAATCTTCAGCTGGGTGACAAGGCTCCTGCGAGTCAGGGGGACTGTTTGGAAGGGGGAGCAGGAGGAGGCCGTGGGCTGCGGACAGCACTAGAGGGCACTTACATTCGGACAGGAGTACAGGGAAGGGGCACCTGGCAGTGTGTCCCGAGGGTCACCGTGGCTGTTTCTCTCCGCAGTTCTACGGCCCGCGGATCGGCGCGCTGTACGTGTGCGGCCCCGGCACCACTACCCCGCTGCACCCCATGCTCTTCGGAGGGGGACAGGAGAGGAGCTTCCGGCCAGGGTAAGGTGGCTGGGTGGTGGCCCAGAGAACTGGGCCTCATGCTGGTGTCCAGACCAGACTTGGCTACTGAACCTGGGGTGGGCAGCCAGGCGGGGAGAGATGGATCCGTGATGGATCCGTGCTTGGGAACTGTGGGAGCCTCGTGTGCAGGCTTCGCTGTGGGAGGAACTGCAGGGTGGAACTGCCCCTTTCACAGTCACCTCGGAGAGGTGTCCAGGACCCCCCTGCCAGCAGTGAGGGGTCTGACGCGGGGAGTGTCTGTGCCCAGGGATTGGGTTCCTGGTCCAGAGAAGTGATGAATCACTGCTCTGTTTTCCCTTCCAGCACGGAGAACACCCCAATGATTGCCGGCCTCGGCCAGGTGAGTCAGTGATGGACACGGGTGAGTGGTTCCTTGGGGCTGCTGGCTGGTGGAACCAGCACGGAGGTGGCCACCTGCGCTCCCCAGTCATTAGAAGTGACAAGCTCAGGGTGCAGGAGGGCAGGTGAACTGCTGGGAAAAGAGATGGGGGTTTCTGATGCCGGTCAAAGGAGGCGTTTCATAGCGCTCGCTGCAGGCTTTGCAGCCCCAGCAGCGGGCAGTCACGCAGCTCCCACGGCCCAGGGCACCATGAGGCTGGTGGGGGATGCGGGGACCTGGCAGTTGCAGAGGCTGTTCCCGGGCTGGACTCGCGTGCCAGGGGCTGTGCATGGAGGGAGGTGTCTGGGGGTCGCTGACGGAGCCTGTCTGGGTTTCCTCTCCTCAGGCCGCAGAGCTAGTGAGCAAGAACTGGGAGGCTTACAAGGCTCATATGAGGGATGTTCGGGATTACCTGGAGGCCAAGCTGGAGGTGAGCAGACGTGGTTCCTGTTTGTCTCTCCCCTCCTGGGGTCTCAGCCTGCAGAACGCGGGCTCGGAGCCAGGGTGGGTATGTGCCTCTGGCTCAGCCACCTCCTCACCAGGACAGAGCTTCTTGTGATCCCCGAGTGGTTCACAGCCCTCTGATTTCTCCAGGCCTCCTTTGGGAAGCAGAGGACCCCCCTCACCAGCCACTTTACAGGCTCCAAGCGACTCTGCAACACCTCTAACTTCTCCATCCTGGGTCCAGGCCTTCAAGGTAGCTCAGCTCTTACATCTCCATCATGTCCTCAGTCCACTGCTGCCCCGTGGCGGTTCCCACAGAGCCAAACACCTGCCCCCCCCACCCCAGCACGCTGTGGCTAGAGACCGGTGGGTGCTCAGCTGTGGCTTGGGCAGGGAGATGATGTGGGCAGCAGCCCTCGGAGAGGGCCTGGGCGCTGGGAGACCTGTGCTTGTGTGTGCTGCAGGGCGAAGGGTGCTGTCTCGCTGTAAGGTGCTGCTCGCCAGCGTTGGGGCTGCCTGTCACTCTGAGAAAGGGGATCGGTAAGCAGCCGGCTTTGCCAGGCCCAGGGTGTCTTCCCACAGGAGGGCGGGTGGAAAGAGGGAACTGGGATAGGGAAAGGGACTGTGGGTGGCTGTGGGCAGCGTCGCCTGGAGCAAAGAGGGTGCAGAGCTTTCCAGAGGGCCTGAAGAGCTGTGAAGGAGGTTACTGCAGGAGATGCAGCTGGAACGCTTGGCTGCTGCTAGGAAGGACTTTGTCCCTCCTGGCTCTGGTAATTCTGCTGAGGTTGGAAGTGCTCTTCAATGCTTGGCACTGCAGAAGACTCTGCCTTATGTCTGTGTGTGCCTGGCTCACCCATTCAAGCCCCATTTGGATCTCCAGTGGGCTCCTGTGGGGGTGCGTGAAGACAGCAGGTGCTTTTGGGCTGGTCTAGAGCAATGCCCCGTAGACATGGCACAGCTGCCAACCCATGGGGACATGGGAGAGGTTCTTCCTCAGAGGGGACGAGCCCGATCCACTATTGAGCAACAAGCCCAGTGGGAGGGGGTGCCTTTGGGAAGCGAGCAGGGCACCATGTAGGTGACAGGTTAGCCTGGAGTGCACCTGCGGATGCGCTCCCTCCTAGGGCTTGGTGAAACCTTCTCATGATGCACGTGCTTCCTCGGCCTCCGAGTTAACCCTGCTCACCTCTGTGCCTGTGTTTCAGGCCCTCCTCGATTCTGCTCAGCTGTGGGATCCCCTACGACGTGGCGCAGAACGCCTTGCGGCTGAGCGTGGGGCGAGACACCACCCGAGCAGACGTGGACCTGGTCGTGCAGGACCTCATGCAGGCCGTGGCGCAGCTGCAGCAGGACCAAGCCCCGTAGATCCTGAGAATCGCTCCGCCGCCGTCACCCAGGTTCTCGGGGTGGGACTGTGCTCTGCTTGGCCTGTGGGTGCTGGCTGCCTGCATCAGTTTGGGCTCAGGTTTTGGCAGGATTAGTTTTGTGCCTGATCCCTAAGTTTGTGACGGTGTATCGGACGTTGGGGAAGTGGCGGTTGGTGGTGGCAGAAAGCGGGATCGCCCGTGTTGGCAGCAACGAGCGCTTAGGTCTGCTTAGCCGTGTGTCAGCTCGTGCTGGCAGGGATGGTGGCAGGGCTGGCACGGCTCCGCAGCGCGTGCGGCTCGAGCGGAGAGGCACTGGAGGTGGCAGGGAGCTGTGCTGAGCAGGGAGCTTGGGCTTCGCTGCTTTGGGGCCGGGGCAGCTCAAGGGCTCGCTCAGGACTCTGCCGTCCCCGCTGCAGGGCGCTGCACCGTTGGGTGCTCCGCACTTGCCAAGCACGTGCCCCGCTGGCTGCGTGCGTGTTGGCATGATGGAGTCCCAAAGCTCGACTCTCTCCAGAGCGTAACAAGCGTAGAAGCCGTAGGAGACAGAGCCTTTTGCCCTGGTTGCTTTCCACAAAGGAAGCTTTCCTGCTGTCTTATCCCTCGGAGGAAGAAAGACCATCTGCCCCAGGGAGAAACGAGGAGTTGATGGAAGCACAGCAAGATGCTGGGCTGGGAAGTGCTCTGCCCCTGCCAGGGCACTAATCTGCTACAGGGTTTATTGGCTGGGGAGGG